ATGCTATGAGCTATTCTGGGCCCTGCACATACAGCAGTGGACAGAACAAAGTTCCTGTCTTTGTGGTGCTTACTTTCTACTTATACGCCCACCTGATGAGGAGATAGTTTTATTCTTTTATCTAAATACCGTTGTTTTATGTCAATGGATTTGGTATTTGAATAGGAAAAAGAGTCATTTCTGAGGGTACATGTCAGTGTTAGTGGTCTCCATGAGCCTGTCAGATGGAGACTGTGTTCACTGCTACTCTGTTTCATTAACCATCCAGACATATGAGGGAAAAAATTAAGTAAGATCAGGAAAATCAGAACAACTTTTTTGATAAGCTACATATTTTTCTTATAATTAAAGCCAATTTAACATGACTATTGAGTGCTGATTTTTCAAAACCACTATCAATTCTTTGGCCTTTCCACATCACTATTAACTTAGGGAGAAGGATATAACTTCTAAGACAGGCTGAACACAGCACACATGATAAGATGTTTAAAAAGCAAAACCTTACAAGATCAAATCTACTAGTGTTCTAAGAAAGAAAATAGAAAATATTTAATGTTTGTGTTTTTCTTGATAAAGAAAAATATATGTCACTATATGTAAGATGCAAATAATAGGGAAATACATAAATTAAAAATTCTATTTATACAGAATTATAATATTCATAGTTCCAAATAACTGATTTTTTCATGGTCTATACAGTTGCCCCTTGGTGTGGATGAGGGATGAGCTCCAGGATTCCTACAGATACCCAAATCCATGGATTAGTATTTGCGTATAACCTACACACACACACACTCCCAGATACTTAAAATCACCTATAGATAATTTGTGATACCTAATACAATGTAACTGTTTTGTAAATAGTTGTTAAACTATATTGTTTAGGGAATAATGGCAATGAAAAAAAAAAGCCTGTATGTATTCAGTAGAAAGGCATTTTTCCCCAGTCTGTGGTTGATTAAATCCCTGGGGCCAAGGATATAGAGAAATAGAGAATTGATTATACACACTTATTGTACATTGATCAGTATCATCAGACTGCTTAACTGGCTGGGACATTTCTGATTCCATAATACTAAAAGCTTCTAGAATAACATTACCTTCAAATAATGCTACCTTCAAAACTAACTTCTAAAGAGAACATTTAGTGCGTAACATACATTTCATTTAAAAGCATGGCTCTCAAAACATCAATGTAGAGTCAGCATCGGTGCCATCCTGAAGAAGGCAGAGCTAGAGACCACCCTCAGGATATCAGCAGCAGAATCTGGTAGATCTTGCGGGGCAGTGAGCATGGCAGGAGGAGTGTAAACAAGGCCCAGGTGAATTCTGCTACACACTCACACACAGGTCACTGATTGAGTCCCTCTCCAACATTGCACAGAGAAGAAAATGAAAGTCCAAGGAAATGAAGAAACCTGGCAAGTCACCATACAGTGAGAGGCAGAGGTGGGCTGAGAACAAGAGTGATAATGTGCTCTTTGATCTACTGCATCCTGCCGCATTAGAAGGTGCCTTTTGTACAGTAGTGCAGAAGAAATCAGCTTCAATTTGTTCCCCTAAGGTGAGTGTTCAGACAAGTCCCTCTTGTATCTGAGCCTTTTATTCTAACACAAGAAACTCAAAGTTCTGGGCTGATGGTGGTAGATGTTCAGTCATTTTTGCTGTTGTGTGTTTTGCTTTTGAAAAGGGAAAGGAAATTTAAGACCTAAAAAGAGTATCATTATTATTTGATGAAATAACATGCATGTAGGTTTTGAAGTTCAGAGTGAGAAAAAAATTGCTGTTGGATCCAACACGCCCCCCTACACACACACACACACACACACACACATGTGACAGGGTGTCCTCTTGACTGGTGTGAAGGTGAGTAGGTTGCTGCTGGAATGTTTGAGGACAGGGAACTCCGAGTGTACTCAGCCCTGGGTTGGGGGAGAATGTGTCACTTCCAGGGCTTTTCTCTCTAGCTGAGTCATGGCACAGCCACCATGAAGTCCAAAATAAGTGTCTGCAGCCCTCTGCAGCCAGGGAAAAGGTCACCATCAACACAGAGCTTGGGAGCTTGGGGAAGTGGGTAAGAGGAGACTGCCATGTCATGTCTACTGCACATTCCTCTAAGTTGAAAACTTGGGTCCCAGAGCAAACGTTCCCTGCTCTGAGCTCCATCAGCTACAGCTGACCTACAGTGAGGCCAAAGAGGGTGCTTCTGCCAGAATCAGAGTTGAATATCAGCGCATTAAACCCCACCTTGTTTTATAAGAATTTGGAATCCAGAATGTGTCAATGTGTGCCCAACTGAATAGCTAGAGGGAAAAAGCTTTGTTCTGAAAGATGCTTGGCACAGCACTGAACAAGAATAATAATCCAGATTACAGAAGATTGAATTCTATTCCTTCTATTTGTAAAAATACAGGACTCTTCAATGTTAACAAATGGCTCTTGAAAAATCACAGCTAATATTGGTTGACTCTTAGTACTTTCCAAGCATTGTGTTAACTGCTTTATATTAATAATCATATTTAATCATCAGAACAACTCAGTTATGTTAATGCAGTTTTATGTTTGGGGATACTGAGACTTAGGGTAAGGACCCCACCTAAGGCTCATGATCAGTAAGTCACCAAGCTGGAATTCAACCCCAAATTTGCATACAACAGAAACCAAAGTGCTTTTGATGTTCTGTTGGCTCTGATTTAAGTACCAGCACCCAGAGCTGCAGGACATATATGCTCACATGATTTAAACTATATATTGGGGCTGGGGGTATAGATAAGTGGTAGAGTGTATGCTGAGCATGCACTAGGCCCTGGGTTCAGTGCCCAGTACCTTTAGAAAAAAAAAAGTATGACAAATGATAACTAGCTATGTGGACACTTTTGGCAAAAATTAATTAACAAAATCTTGTGTGAGTCAAATGCTGCATCATTCCAAACTGGAATTCCCCTAATGATGCCACAAGAGAGCTTCTGATGACCCCAGAGAACAGTCATTCTGGAAGTTTCCAGAAATGCCAATTCACTCCTTGGAGTTGAATAAGGTAGTTTGAGAGGTAGCGGCAGAGCCTAAACTAGTCAGTGGCTACTATCTTCAGGTAGCCAAACTTTCCACCATCACCCCTCCACACCCCGTATCTAATAAACATTCTCATGGCAATGACATTACGATGTTCACTGAAATATTGAATATGTATTTTTTCTCTTAAAGAAAATTGCATGTTCCCTGCTTGTTAGGCTTGAGTCACGGGCCAAGACGGATCTTGCCATAATGAGTTCTTGGTAACATAATCCTTTCCCACCTTTGCCTTCCTTGTCTTTGGTCAGAGTGACTCTGCTTTTATTTATGTTGCATCCAACCCTTTTACTCCATAAGTAAAACCAGAGAGTGTCCTGTGCAGTTGTTTTAATTGGGTCCAACATTAAACATTATCAAGGAGAAATGAAACTGAAAGAAGCAAGTCAAGATAGCAGCCCTGAGTTTTTTTCTGGGATCACAGCGGCTGATAAATGATGCAAAAAGCCCAAGATGACCAGCCCCAGCTACTTTTTGACCTGAAGACCTATGAGACAGGGGGTTGGGGTAGGTAGCAAAGAGCTGGAAACCACCAGCGACTGCCATTAGAATCGCTTTGCATCCTCAAGCAGGCAAACACTAATCACACCTCTTTTATTAATGGTGATTCTAAGGAAATTTCTTTGAAAATAGAAGAAAAAGGAGGTCTTACTAATGGAACCAAACCTACATAACAGACCAGGTCCATCGTATTTTCTCATTAAGATGATGGCTCAGTTTCACATAAAGATTAATTACTTAATTGTGAGGAAAGTATAATCTTGCCAAATTAATTTTAAAATGAGAGACCAGCTATTTTTATTATACTCTTCAGATCCCAGGAAATTTCTGCCAGTACATTTCATAGAAATTAATATTGTAAAATTTATGTATGGCTGTTGTCCCTCGCCCATTTAGCGCCTCTCTGAATTAAATTATTGATATCAGTAAACACACACAGTCTTTTGGAATGACCTTGCTGACCTATTTTTGACAGCATGATCTCGGCTCCCTCATAGCTTGCCATAATGAGTTCTTGGTAACATTATCCTTTCTGACGAATTTAATGGAAGCAAGTGAGTCTTTAGAAACTGGTCGTGTGCATAAGCTCCATTAGCTTTCTGTGTTCTATCTGGTGCTTGGAAAACCAGGCACCGAAGAATGTTTTTCAATCGCATCTATGGCTTAGCTTTTCACTCCTACTGACACAGCGATTAATCTTAATCATCCCATTCTAGTCGCACGCTGTTTTCCAAAACTAAAGCTACATGCCCCAAAATCTTTGCCTCCTTTTGTGTGGCAGATGACATCTTCCATCAACAGTGAATAATAATAAATTTACATTCAACCCACATGTGGCACCTGAACACCTAAGCCTCCCTCCAACTGCTGTTCCAAAGTGACATTCCCTTCTTATATTTCCCTTCTACTTCAGTGATGCAGAATAACAGTCACAAATTAACAGTCCCCCTTTTTTTTGGGAGGGGAGAGGGTGTCGGGTGCTGAATGAAAGAAAAGTACAAGAGAAGGGCAACTCAATCCAGACAATATGTAATAAAAACCCAGAGCGAACCACAGTTCTTAACAGACTCCCTGAGAAGGTTCCCAGGCACAGCACTGAGGAGGAGTGAATTCTCCAGTAGGACACATCACACACTCCAGTGGCTCCTGGTTAACCTTGCCACATTATCTGTGCCAAAATTCAGATTTCACACACTGTCCTCCTTAACCCCAATGCAATTCTATTTCCAGTTCTGCCAGCCTCAGATCCGCAAAGCATCAGTATTCTATTAAAAAAAAAAAGTATAAGCTCAAATTCTGGGTCATCTAGCAGTCGCACCCTGTGATTAAGGACTACACCCAGGAAGGTATTTTCTGTGGAAGATGCCCAGGCCCGTCTCCATCCCAGGGACTTTGAAATGGAAGCAGAAAGGATTGTGTGGGTAACTTACCAGCTTCTGAGGTCAGAATGGCTGCAGCAGCCCCACCGCTTTACCTGGTCCCTGGCTCTCTCTGTCTCTCTCCCTCTCTCTCTCCCTCTTTCTCTTGTGTACAGATTGCAGGGAACTTAAAGAACTCGCAGGGACAGTGTTTCAAATGACTTAAGAAGAACAGGAACAATACTTCGTTCTCTTTTTCTCAGATGAGTACCTTCGGGAAGAAGGAAGGAAGGGAGGGGAGAGGGAGGAAGTCAACAACCCTTTGCTTTCCTGAAAAAAAATAAGGAAACAGAAGATAGACATCTCATTTTCTCTTAAACAAAATGTTGGAAGGGGCAAAAAAAAAAAATCTTTGAAAGAAGGAATTCCTCAAATATGCTTTCTGCCCTGGGAGCTTTAAAGAGACGAAAACGCCTTAGTGGCCTGTCCTGTCCGAATAAATGGTGTTCCAGAAAGGCAGGCTCTCCTGAGCTTGCAGCCTCTCATATCTGGTTTGCAGAACTGACACAGCCAAAAGGGAACAAATCCTGTCATGTAGACTCTGAGCAGGGGGGACGCCTGGTCCATTGTGCTAACGGAGACAAACCTGAGCCGGGGAGACAGGACCTCGTGGCCAGTCGGCCAGGACTTTTGGCTTTTCCTAGGCCCTTGGAAACACCAGCATTGCTGCAATTCCTCGGCTAACGCTAGATCCTTAGAGTTCTTTCAGGATCAAATAGCAGATTTATGCACTGGTCACTGAGCTTTATGCAATGGATCAAATCCAGCTTCCATCTTGCTGATGGACGAAAAAGGAAAAGAAGTCACTTACCACAGTGCTGCGGACATAGTTGTCTCGGAGCTGCTGTTTATATTGTCTTCTCCTTTACATTCCTAAGGCTTCTTGGATGTAATCACCTCTGGAAAACTGGAGGGCTATTTCTAATTTGTTTTCAAAACATTGCAAAGCAGTGTAGACCTTATATAAATTAACCACCGTTTTTGAAAAAGGATGGAGAAGCTGATTAGAAGGAGTAGAGGAAATGGAGGGAACATCCTTTAGCAAGGAAGGGACCTGTGAGTTCAGGGGACAGGCATCCTGTGCAGGGAGCACTTAGGATTAAGCTTGGTTTAAATTGCTCCAATTTGTATAGTGTGGACTTCATTCATCTGTTATGACCATCGTCACCACAAACAGGAACCAGCATGGACCTTTGTGGTAGCACAAGAAAAACCAGCCTTGAGCTGCTTCCTCATTTACTCAATTGTGAAAAAATGGGGTGGAGAGTTACACCTGATTGCAGAGGACACTTACATGAGCTGGGGGAGAGGACGATTCTGATTCAGTGTCCATGTGAGGCTCTTATTGGGTACCAGGGTCTGTAAGATTACATATTCCAAGTTTCTCTCTCTCTTTCTCTCTCTCTCTCTCTGTCATCTACATGGATCTATTAATCAGTCTATCTGAAGATGTGTGCACATTTCAAAGAGAACATGATATTGTTACTTGACAACCTGTCAGCTCCAGAGCACAGTGTGATTCTTTGCATTCACCATGCACTGACACCGACTAGACACATAGATTCCTGGCATGGGTGACCCCTGCCCCACACACCGTGGACAGATGAGAAGAAGAGCCAATAGCACAAGGGCCTCAGCCTCTGCACTTTTCCCAGAGTCACACACAGCAGTGGTAAAACCCCAAATGGTCAGTTCGTTGGCCTCCTGGGTCCAGCTCTAGGGCTCTTGCCCTCTGCTGGCCTTCCTCTGCATCCTGCCTTTGTAAGGATGGGAAGGAAAATGAAAATGAAAATCTAAGAAAGCAAGGGAAGAGCATGAGAGAACAGAGCAGGGCAGGAGTCGGAGCTGGGGCTTTCAGTGGTGGGGCAAATCTCTGAGTGTCTTGAGGCTAAAGAGTCCAACTCACCCTAGGAAGTGGGTCCATGGGAGTGTGGTGAGTGAGGAGCAATAGGGAGGGGGTGGGCATCAGCCAGCAGAGGAAGGAGGGGACCAGAGGGTCAAAGAAGCTCAGGCTACAGAGTCCTTGCAGAAATGAAGCCACCTCTAATCACCTGAAGAGCCAATCACCATATACAGCCTTTTCCATGTTATTTCTCTTTGTAGCCTCAGGGCCAGGCCAGGGCTGAGCCCCAGGAGTCCAGTCAGAATCCAAAGGATTTCCCTTTTAAGTCTGCAGAATGTGGGGATGGTCACGTTGAGGCCCTGTTGTTGTCTCCAAGCCAGCTGACCCGCCCAGAGTCCCCTGGACGGGGCGTGTCCATTCAGTCTGTGTGGCTTTGATTTCACTCAGCAGCACCCAGCAGAGATCTGGCGACACCCACGGGGCTGGCCAGGGGATCCTCAGCCCTGCCTGGTGCCAGGCTCTCCAACCCGTGAGAACCACAGAAAGGTTTCTCCTTCCTTCTCTGGGCTGCCAGGCATATGAAAAGTTGCCCCCTGAGGCTTGTCACGCCGTCCACTGGTCCTCAGACCTTCCCATACGGTTTGGAGGGAGAGATTTTGAATCAGGCTGCCCAAGTTCCAGCCAGCTCCTGGCTGCTCTGGATCCCTGGGTCTCACTGAGAGTGAGGGGCATGGACGCCTGTCCTGCAGCCGAGAGGCTACAATGTGCAGGGTGGATGTGGCCTTGCCTAGGACCCATCTGTAAGCCCCAAATTGCATGACATACTACAGAGATCATTCGAGTGGAGAGAGAGGGCTTCATGCCCATGGGACTGGATCAGGACACCATGAGAAAAACCAAAGTGAGGCCAAGCAGTGACCCGAACACTCAGAACCAGCACCACAGAAATACGAGCTCTGCTCAAATTGGCTTCCCACCTCTAAAGCGCCCAAATTTGTACATCTCCAGTTGTGATGATCCCGAACTCTAGGGCCATCCGTTCAACCCAGGACAAACTTGATCCAGATTGTATAGATGGGGGGAAAATGAAGGGAACGTTGAAATGTAACGTATTTTCAGAAAAGTGCCAAAAAATAAATACGCACATGAGTCAGTTAGGCTCCCAAAATGGAGAGATGTGACTGGTCAGGATTCAATAAAGAATCAGGACCAAAGACCCTGGTGCTCATCGTGCCACTTCGTCTCCTCAGGGGACACTTCCTAACTTCTAACACCTGATGCAGATGAGCATTACCTGGTTCTGAAGTTGCATGAGAAATGGAATGGGTTTGTGGTTTTCAGTTTTGGGTTTCTTTGCCTCGACGTAGCATCGGCAGGATTCATCCCTGTTCTTGAGGGTGGTCATGCTGCCTTCACTCCTGTGCTGGATAGGGTTTCATTCTGTGAATGTGCCACAAGTTTTACATCTGCTCTACTGAAAAGAGACCTCTGGGTTGTTTTTAGCATGGGGTATCAAACCAGTGCCAGGAATATTCCTGTCCCTGACAGATGTCTTCCTAAAAGTCTACTATGGGACTCTTTTTTTGACAGGAAGAGGGTCCCCTCTAGTGACTCACAACCTTTTTATTTGATTCTCTTTGGTATCCACTTCCTCTCACATGGGATACATGGCATCCATTTTTTAATTCAAATGAATTTGGTTTGAGAACATGGAGATACCTTGGAGACACTGGCAGTGATCCTGGGGAGCTTTGAACCATCAGGAGCCACTGTTCTTGCTTCCTGCTGCAACCTGGAAATGCTAGTTCCTGCTGCTCCAAGTCACACTACAGGGGCTCCATCTCCCCTCGAGATTCTGTGGAGAGCGTCTCCTCCCCACCCTGGGCTTCCCACGGACGTGCAAAGTTCCATTATATTCACGTTCAGGAGGGATGGCCAAGTCCCCAGCCTGAAACTGCTTTGAAACTTCCTTTGTTTCTTTGATTTATTGTCTTCATTTTGCCAAGCCCCTATGTCTTCCAAGTTCCAACTCTCAAAAATGTGAGAACATTCATTCTGTCTTCCTTTTTAGTTTTTTTTTTTTTAGTCTAAAAAACTGATCTAAAGGATTCATTTAAACACATTATTGAAAAAAAATCTATTTTATGCAGCCAGTTTTCTCATTTGACAAGTGGGGATAATAAAATACCTATTTCGTATATTATTAGTAGTAAATAAGAATAGTGAACATCGTTCACAGCCCACGTGTCAGGCATGTTCTAAATACTTCTCCTGACATGATCTACCCAAGATTTTCACAACCCTGTGAAGTAGCTGCTGTTATCATCTGCCGACCCATCTACCCTTTTATAGGTGAGGAAACCAAGTCATGAAGGTGTTATGCTGCTTCTCCAACACAGCATAATAAGTTAGATTTCAAACCCAGGGAATTCTGGCTCACAGTCCTAATTTTTAACCACAGAGCAAACTTGCTTTGCCTTCTGGCCAAACAATGCCGATCACAGAGTAAAAACCCAATGCGTGGAAATCCCAAAGCAGAAGTCAATTACATGTCCTGGAAAGAAAACGAAGTGCACATACACATAAAATAATTGGTTTTAAACTTTAAAAATTACAAAATTAAAATGTTTTCCCCAGGATGTGGTGGCACGTGCCTGTAATCTCAGCGGCTTGGGAGGATAAGGCAAGAGGGTTGAAAGTTCAAAGCCAGCCTCAGTAACTTAGTGAGGCCCTAAGCCACTTAGTGAGTTGTCTCAAAATAAACAAACAAATAAATAAGTACTGGGGGTGTGACTCAATGGTTAAGTGGCCTGGGTTCAATCCCCCCATACAAAAAATATTAAGTAATATGTGTATATTACTTAATATTTGTATATAATATTATATCTATATGTATGTTGGTTTTTATCATCCAAGGTGTTAATGATTTATTTAATAGATTATTAAAATACTTCATAAAATTATTTCCCTCATTTTGTTCTTTTTCATGTCCTATTCAAATTGCATGCATATTCTATAAAATAATAGCAAACATCCCCCCGCCAAAAAAATAAAACCAATCCAATTCATGCTCCCTAAAATTGAAGAACACTTTGTTCTATGATGAAAAAGGCAAAAATATATGGCACCGAGTTTTCTTAGGCAATCATTTGGTGAGCACATCATAAGGACCAGGAGACCCCAGGCTATGGGTGGCTAATGTGCTTCTGAAGTTTTGCCTGGAGGAAGAGAAGTACAGTGAACAAGTCAAGAGGAAGAGAAGTCTGGGAGTTAGAACAGCATTTGGCATGGTACAGACTCTGGACAAGAAGGTCAGAGAAGATCTTCTTAAGAAAACGG